TGGTTATCCAGAGGCTGAGGGAATTTACAACCTTATCTAAAAAGAACCTATTCTACTGTAGGACAGTGCTAATGAAAAGAAACTAGGTAACTAGATAGTTAACTTCCATGTCATTTATCTTCTTAGCAAGTCTAATTTAATTTCTCTCCTCTACAATAACCCCCCAAATTAGGAAATAACACTATAGCATATAATTTCCCCAAAGTAAAATAAGACTGAAAAAGATCTTTACTGATTCCATAAAGACTGGGCATTACACTCTTTCATGTGTCCATAACAATGGCAAGTCCTCCTCCTCCTCCTCCTTCTGTTTGTTGTTGTTTGTTCTTTTTTTTTTTTTTTCCTATTCTGGGGATTGAACCCAGGGGCACTTTGCCCCTGAGCTGTATCCCCAGTCCTTTTTTAAAATTTTTTATTTTGAGACAGGGTCTCACTAAGTTGCTGAGAGTCTTGCTACATGGCTGAGGCTAGTCTTGAACTTGGGGTTATTCTACATCAGCCTCTTGAGTTGGTGCAATTATAGGTATGCACTCTCACACACAGCTCTGTAACTTCTTTTTTCATTTAAGAACCACTGCTTCCTTGGTTCTTTTCATATTTTATTTCTGTCACTAGCACTAGCATTTAACTCTTTTCATGACACTTTTAATAAGGAAGCATACATTTTATCACTGTACATATAACTGTATATATCTACAGGGAAAAACCAGCAGGTGGGGATCAAGTAGGCTAGACTCGCCCCCGCAACTTGCCTATGGTTTCTCAATTCATATGTTCTACCTGTGATATGGTGGGCCCCCCTTTCTGCTCTTTCCTTCTGAGCTTATGACGTTTTCCAGTTGGTCTTCTTATCTCCACCCTTTTCCTATCCCAAAATAAATTCTGTTGAATGATTTGTCTAAAATGCAAAATTGACCTGTACTTCCTTAATTCAGTTGTTCCTCAATACCCAGTGTTGTACAAATTTTCCAGTTATATGCTACTGATGTTGGAAGAGCTTTTGTCAACTGGAGTTTCATAAGAAAATTAAATCCTAATGCCATTAGCCATTTATTGTATGTAATATATTAACTTGTTTGCTCTGTATCTAGAATGGTGCTATTATGTACAATCTTAAGGAAAACTGAGAAAAGTCACTAATCATTTTCTTTGTTCTGTGATTCAGACAAGTAACCCAGTTATGAAAGACTGGAGAAGTATCTGTTTTTCAAGAGGCCCAGGAGCATAGCTGGGAGCAACTTCAAGGGGAAAATCATCAAATTTCATTGAATCTAGGGTTTTATTTTTAATTTTTATGTGAATATTGCATTTTACTATATAATATGTCCATGGTTAAAATTATATCTATTTATTTATTTATTTATTTTTGGTACTGGGGAATGAACCCAGGGACACTTTACCCCTGAGCTATATCCCCAGCATTCTTTTATTTTTGAGACAAGGTCTCACTAAATTGCTTAGGGTTTCGCTGGTCTTGCTAAGGCTTTTCTTAAACTTGTGATCCTCCTGCCTTAGCCTCCAAAGTCACATCCCCAGTCCTTTTTATTTTATTTATTTAATTTTGAGACAGAGTCTCACTAAATTGCTTCTAACTTGCTGAGGCTGGCCTCAAATTTGTGATCCTCCTGTGTGAACCTCCCAAGTTACAGGTGTAAGCCAACGTGCTTACCTACAGGGCATTTTTTTTTTTTTTTTTTTTTTTAGAGACAGGGTCTCACTGAGTTGCTTAGTGCCTCACAGTTGCTAAGACTGGCTTTAAACTCATGATTTTCCTGTCTCAGCCTCCCAAGAGGCTGGAGTTATAGGCATGCACTCCCATGCCCAGTGTCTAGAGGGCATTTTATGTATGTATATTATTCCATGTCCCTAGGAAAGTTATTCAAGATAACACAATAAATCGTCAGAGTCAAGGTACTAACCCATGTGTGTCAACTCCAAAGCCCAAAATGAGTTTTCTACTGCTTGAAGCTAAGTTGAGAGAATTAAGAGCCTAGAAGTCTTTTTTTTTTTTTTTTTTTTTTGGTACTAAGGATTTGGGGATTGAACCCCAGGGGCTCTTAACCCTGAACTACAGCCCCAGCTCTTTTTTTTTTTTTTTGAGACACAGACTCCTTAAGTTGCTGAGGCTGGCTTTAAATTTGTGATCCTCCTGTTTCAGTCTCGTGAGCCACTGGGAATATAGGCATGTACCACTGCGCCTGGCTGAGCCTAAGTCTTTTTGGCCATTTCTAAGTTAATCTTCATAGGAATATAAGATTTTTTTTTCTTGGTCAAGTTACTATTTGGGTTATCATGCATAATTCTGCACTTTTGCAGAAGACAACCAACCATTATCCAAAAGAAAAATGAATAACAGTGCAATAGCAGGTATACTTTTCTAGTTGTTTTGTCTTGATAGATATTGATGTCTTGTTATTTCTTGAATATTCTCTAGCTGGTTATGGGAACTGGCTTTTCTTGGAAAGAAGAAGCTATTTTGCAAGGTGTGGTAGCACACACCTGTAATCCCAGTGACTAGGGAGGCTGAGACAGGAAGATCACAAGTTTGAGGCCAGTCTCAGCAATTTAGCGAGACCTGTCTCAAAATAAAATTAAATAAAAAGGTCTGGGGATACAGTTCAGTGGTATAAAGTGCCCTTGGATTCAGTTACCAATATCAAAAAGAAAATAATAAAAAGGAAGCCATCTTGTTATTGAAAACTTGCTTTTAGGTACACCCTACACAGTTGACAGTTAGTAACTCTATTTCTGTCTGCTTACCCAAGGCACTTGGAAAAACATAAATGCTCAAGCACCAAAGTATGAGAATTTGCTCTCTACCCCCTGTATGACATTTGCCTAGCTTTCTGGAATCCAGTTTCCATGAGGTATCCAGAGGGAAAGTCTGGAATGCACTGGCAATGGTCACATTCAATGCAGAAATTCAAGGTAGTCTGGCTTTGTAGCTCCTCTGAGAAGCTGGGACAGTGAATGGACCCCCGGTGACTTTTCCTTTTGCTTCTCAGTCTCAACACTAGAGATTAAACCCAGGGCCTGGAACATACTAGGCAAGTACTCTACCACAGAGCTACAGCCCCAGCCCTTTGTATTTTTTAATTTTAATTTTGAGACAGGGTCTTGCTAAGTTGCAGAGGCTGTACTTGACTTTCTATCCTCCTGCCTCAGCCTCCTGGGTGGCTGAAATTACAGGCATGTGCCACCACATCCAGCTTTGCATTCTTGACTCTTTCCTACCTAGTTCTTCCAGAAAGTTTGAAATTTGGGAATCTGAGGGCATCACAAAAATGTTGTACAGAGCCCTGTGAAGTTCTTTTGTTTGTAACCTCCTGCCTCCTTTCTTGTTCTCTTTTCACCAGGATTACTACTACAAATTGAGACTGATACTGTTTACATGAAGTAAAAGAGGGAAAGAGAGTTAAACTGGGATGTCTGGAGTTTGGATCAGAAACCTGTTGAGTCAAAGGAAGAACTTAGCAGCAAAATGGAATGGCAATAATTTCCTAAGAGAGTAGACAAGTATGCAGGAAACACCTCTGCACCCCAAAGATAGGCACAGTTGCCACACAGTGACTATTAAAGGGAGGTTCAAAGTCATAAGTAAACAGCTGATTCTCTTGGTTCTTGGGCTGTTGCTGTTGGTGACAGGAAATCTTGTTCCCCAAGCTGCTGGCTTCCTGTTTTATTTTTACTTGTAGCAGATCAGAATGTCCATAACAAGGAGCAGTCTGTTCCGAAGGGTTCTTCTACTCCCTTTTTGAGCCTGAAGGGCTAAAGGATCTTTTTTTTTTTTTTTTTTTGGGTCAGATAATATGTTGGTTTGCTTTTAGGATCTGTGATGGTTAGTTTGGTTTAAGCATTTTGTATCCACAATCAACATTTTTGGTGATGAGCTGGTGTTTTAAAATTTGATGTAAGTAAACCTCTGTCTTGTTTTTTTAAAGAGGTGTTTATAATACTGGGGGCTAGCATATGTTACCTTTTCATTTGAAGTGACTTTCCCTTGCATTAAAGCCATTTGGCCCTTTTGATTTAGATTTGTAAGATAGAGAAATAGTTCCAGACCAGTGTGCTTTGACTGTTGTCATATTCACTGTGTTGAAATTGAAACCTTTTCCTAAACTTATAAAAATAGGAATCTGGTAATCTAAAACAATAGCTCAGCATGAGCCTGCTGAGGGATTTCCTAGGGAAAGGGGCTCAGCTGACTGGCTAAGAAACAGTAACTAAAAGTTTCCAGGGTCTGCTCTAGTCACTTCCTGCTGTTTCTAGAGCCCTTTGGCCCAGGTATATTGAACTGGATGGGAGAGAGAGGGGGAGGCTTTGGGTAGAAGAGAAAGGATCAGAGAATCTTATAGCATAGTTGGCTTAGCATCTGTTTGACATATTGAACATTTAAAATTATCCTTGATATTCTTTCATTCTTTCAATTTACAAACTAAACTTTACTGCTGTTAATAGATACTGGCAGCTAGCATTTAGTTGTACATTAACAGTCATTTACCTAAGAGGAACTGGAGAAGCTATGTCCTGATATATATCAATGGAATCACTGTTGGCAGCTTGAATTCATTCTGGAGATTATCAGATGATGGAATCTCTTTTTTGATTCATATAATTGGTGGCCTAGAATCTGATCTGTCTTGGTTATGGACACCCCAAGGATAGAATCCATACCATCCGATGTTTCCTGAAAGGACTGTTTTCTGACCATGTCTCCTTGCCTCTGGGTAATCTTGTTGGTTGAAACAGTAGTTGTAACTGTGTACCTCAGCCAGCAGTTACTAGTTCAAAATATATAAGTTTATCTGGTAAACTTACATAGCAAGTCTTCTAGTAGCAAGACCTTAAAAGAAATGGGAGGGGTAAAAGAGAAAAAGGTGGGGGTAAAGATCTTTAAAAGCTGTTTTTAGATCAGAGCAAGACAGAAAGAAAGAAAGACACAGCCCTAGTGTGCCTGGAATTTGTGGTTGAGTAATACTTTCCTGTTATTTCTGTTTTAGGTTGTTTTTCATCATTCAGAACATTGCCTGAAGCAGGTCCACCATGCCGTTAGTAACGAGAAACATCGAGCCAAGGCACCTGTGCCGTCAGACGTTGCCTAGCGTTAGAAGCGAGCTGGAATGCATGACCAACATCACCCTGGCAAATGTCATCCGACAGCTGGGCAGCCTGAGTGAGTGCCTCCGAGAGCCTGTGCTTTGCCCTCAAGGGTCGTTGGTGCTCTTTATTTAGTTTCCTTCTCCTCCCATGTTCCTATTTCTCCCCCATCTGCCTTCCCTAGGTAATGTGAAATGTATTCCATCCCCCCCACAAAGAGAGGCTCCTTTTTTGGTACAGATTCTTTCCCCCATCCTTTCTCCATCTACCACCACCCTCTAGGTTCCCTCCCCCTCCCCCTCCACCTGCTTCAAAAGAAATCTGTGGGAAGGGTAGCAGGAAGAGCTGCAGCAGAAACTGCAGATGGAATGACAGAGCAGAATTCTCTGTGTGTAAAGTGGGAGGTTCACAGAACAGTGTCTTGGGTCGGGGAATGTGCCTCTAATTACAGGAGCTGTTCGATGTAGCCTGACTTTGTTGAAGCCTCAAATGTGCCAATAGCCTTTATCTATCCAACACCCTCCCCCACTTTCTTTCCAAAGAGGAGTAAAGCAAACATGTACTCAGAGAAATTCTGGCTGACTAGTCTACCCTGGTACACATTTAATTGTGCTGCAAGCCCCCAGGTCCAAGTTCAGGGTACAAATTACTTCTGCAGTCTCTAGGGTTTTGGGAGTTTTACAAGCTGTGTGAACACACAGTGACACAAATAGTAGCTGGAGCCATTCTTCTCTAGGAGGAAGATGGGGGTTAGCCCAGTCTGTTTTGGAGCTGACGGAAAGCCAGTTCAATTACAATTTTGTTTTTTAATTGGTAAGAATGAATGAGACTGCCATGGGTGGGAGTATATGGGGTACATGCACGTGGTTTGGGTTTCATTCTGAATTAAGCTGACTTTATTTGCTTGAAGCTGAAGTATGGGAAGGGCAGATGCTTGGGTTGGCTCTGCATTTGTCTACTGCCACCCCAGGTCCCATAAGCACCTCTGTCAAAATGCCATTTTAGTGTGATATTCCTTAGCAAAGGCAACTTGGTGTGAATTATTTCAGATACTTGCCCTCCTGTCGCATCACTGCCCTTAGTGAAGGGAGCGGAATATCAAGAAAGCCTGCATTCCGCCAGATAGTAATAGGTCCTGCCTTTAAAATAGGAGCCTGAGAAGATAGAGCTCTGTGACCAAATGATGTATGGAGTCCGAGATTCCTAAGCCTTCACCTAGCTCAGGGACCATCTCAATTGATCCAGGGCTTAGGGAAACCTGGATGGGGTGTCACAAAGAAATGAAACCCTGCCAGTGTCTGTCTTATACAAAGGAACATTGACAGTAGCTCAACAGCAGTGCTGCTGACAAAGAAGCACACAAAAGCTGTAGAGAGCCTCACTGCTTCTTAAAAGCATCATTTCTGCTTCTGTCACCCTGAGAAGGCCAAATGGGTGGAAGTCAATCACATACTAGTTCGTTCTCCATAGGACAAAGAACATCTAGCTAATGATGCTTCTTATTCACACTCAGCATGAGTTATGCTCCCTCTAAGGTGTTTTTCCAGGATAGTGTTGATGGATGCCATTGAAGACCCTCCCACTTGTGATCAGACCATACCTATGTTGAGGAAGCCCATCTAAGGGACAAGGTTCTGTTTGTGCCTAAGGAAACAAGATTTAAGTGACCCTTTATTCATCCAGTAAATGCCGGGTTTCAGTTCTTGCGATTAAAAGGCTCAGGGGTTACTCCAGTTAAACTGGGCTAACTGGGCTGCACAAAATAACCACACAAGAGACACAAATACCTTTTTCTTTGGGGTCGCTGTGACGACTCCTCTGACGTTAAGGGTCCACAGAAAAAGCAAGCGAGAGCACGTGCTGACCCCTTTTATTGAGGAGAAGCTATTCAAATGAGGCAAGGGGTCAGGTTTCAGGGGGCTGAGTCTATCTTCATGTTGTCCACTGTCAGTAGGTTGACCGGCACCTGGGTAGGCCACACCCAAGGGCACAGTAAGAGAAGGGGACACACACAAGGCACTTCCATGGAAGATTCTATCCTAAACAGGGCAAGGGGTTATATTACAAAGGAACAGGTAAGCATAGCTTCACCCATGGGGCTGTACCAAGACACTGACCCTCGAACCCAAGAAGGGTGGGGAAAGCTCTGCCACATTTCTGTGACTGAGCGCCTCAGCACCCAGCCGGGGAGTGTGACTCAGTCACGTGTAAAGTTGGTCTCCCACATGTAAACATGTATTGTATATATTTTGTGTGCTGGATGCTGAGAAGATACAGTGATAAGAAATGGTCTCTGGGCTGGGGATGTGGTTCAAGTGGTAGTGCGCCCGCCTGGCATGAGTGCTGGGGCGCTGGATTTGATCCTCAGTACCACATAAAAATAAAATAAAGATGTTGTGTCCACCAAAAACTAAAAAATAAATATTAAAAAAAATTCTCTCTCTCTCTCTCTCTCAAAAAAAAATAAAAATAAAAGAAAGAAAGAAAAAGAAATGGTCTCTGCCTTCCAGGAGTTCATATCTACCAGCAGAGATGGGAATAAGTAATTCTTCAGGGGATCATGAGGAGAAGGAAAGAAAGGAATTCAAATTTCTTGATTGTCTACTTTTGCCAGTTTTTTTAAAAAAATATATATATATATTTATAATGAAGAGAGAGAGAGTTTTTTTTAATATTTATTTTTTAGTTTTCGGCGGACACAACATCTTTGTTTGTATGTGGTGCTGAGGATCGAACCCGGGCCGCACGCATGCCAGGCGAGCGCGCTACCGCTTAAGCCACATTCCCAGCCCCCTTTAATATATATTTTTTAGTTGTAGATAGACAAAATACGTTTATTTATTTATTTATTTATTTTTATGTGGTCCTGAGGATTGAACCCAGTGCTTCACACATGCTAAGCAAGCACTCTACCACTGAGCTACAACTCCAGCCCCTGCTTTTGCCAGGATCTTGATATAATCTCATTTAATCTTTTCAATAGTTCTATAAGGGTAGAAAGTTCTAGTCTCCTTTTTCAGATGAAGAAATAAAAGCTCCAAAAAGTACACTAACTTCTTTAAAGAGACACAGCCAGTAAGAGGCAAAATCAATATTTACTTATTTTTTGGTGTTAGGGATAGAACCCAGGGCCTTGTGTATGCTAAGCATTCACTGTACCACTGAGCTACACTCTCGGCCTCAAAAGTCAATATTTAAACTTAAGACTTCTTAAGAATTTCTTTGCTCAGTCCTTTACTGTGTCTTTGGCAACAGTGCTCTAGTTCAGACCTTCATTGACTTTGACCTAAACTATCAATGTGGTTTACTTTTGGCCTCCTTTTTAACCCCCTTTTATCTGTTCCTTATATTTCTGCCAGAGTGATCTACCTAAAATGCAGTTTTTTACTTTTTTCTCTCTTTCTCTCTCTTTCTTTCTTTCTTTCTTTCTTTCTTTCTTTCTTTCTTTCTTTCTTTCTT